ACACAAAGCAAGCTTGAATTTGATAGGAGAGAAAAGATTGTGGAATAAAACCATAGCTGCTGTTGAAGGTGCATCTAATTTTGAAAGATTTTGTTTTATAGCCATCCTCAAATGATATGCACCTTCAACAGCAGCTATGGTTTTATTCCACAATCTTTTCTCTCGCATCAAATTCAAGCTTTCTTGGTGTAAAGCATTTGACACTAAATATGTAGCTAGCTTAGCTTTTGTGCATTTTAAACATTTATTATCCAACCAGTTATGTTCTTTGCCAAGATGAGTAGATAAGCAGCGCAGTTCAAACAGGGTCTTTTATGCAGATTGAAAACATCCTTCTTGGGTGATGAAAATTGGGCAGAGTCTTTGATCTACCATGCAAATCCTGTTTCAGTTTCTCCTTTTCTTTCAAAAGAGCAGAGTCTGCTTCAGCTACAAAATTGTCAGGGATAGCTCCAAATCAGTTTCTTCTCCAAGATTGTTAATTTTCTTTGTAAAAGTATCCTGCGAATTGGGAGTTTGACTTCTGGCTGAAAAGTTGTTTAAGGAAAGAAGTGGCAAAAGTTGTAGTATACTTCAAGGGCGATTGGGAGGGACATAATAAAAAATGTACAAATAAAAAATGACGCCTCCATAATGGTAAATGCTATTTTGAGACAACGGCTGGGTATAGAAACTCGGTAGAGGTGTCTAAAGAAAGGTCATGGTCTGTAGATGAGCCATCAAAAGAGAAACATGGTGAATTCCCTTGGGGCTCTGCCCCAGTGGCCTTTGAATTCCCATCCCATGTTATTCTTATGGAGGAAAACGGGGTTTTTGTCACAGCTAATTTGAGAGAACGGCTGGGCGTAGAAACTTGGTAGGGGTCTCTAAAGAAAGGTCTTGGTCTGTAGATGAGCCACCAAAAGAGGAACGAGGTCAATTCCCTTGGAGCTCTGCCCCAGAAGCCTTTAAAGTTGCCTCCAGATTTGTTTACATTACGACCATATGCATAATTCTACACTACTTTTTAATGAAACAGCTGTTAATATTCAAATTGTGATTTATTGAATTTGTCAAAATAAAGTACAGTATTTGCAATTGGGTTTTCTGATTTTAAAATGGGTTTTCTTCTGCATCGTGTCATGTTTTGCAATATAATGTTCTATTACCAAATCAGTGGAAAATCCTATTATCACAGTAACTCTTTTCTTTTGGAGTTAACTTATATCTATTGTATGGGTTGGTTTTTGCCTTTTTTACCACTTCTTGGAGATTGTACATAGGTGATATTCGTTGGCATATTGCATCTGTAGACGAAACTTGGGTTGGTGTATAGAATGGAAAAGAGTGAGAAATCACTTGACAATTTGATATAGGCTAAAAATAAAACTGAATTAAGACTGTTCTACATTTCTTGATCAATCATTGAAATAACCGATTTGCAAACAATGGAAACATAGAAAAAGTCATAGAACACAACCAAGTTAGAAGAAATAGAAAAAAAAATTTTTTTTCATTATAATCGTTATCATAGACAACCTAATGCGACTATGAGAGGGAAAAATTTATTGAAAACACTAAAAAAACAAGATCAGCTTTTTGAAAAAAGATAAGATATTTACAAAAGATATTGATTATATCTAACTGTTGTGTAGATTGTGAGTATTTCCATAATCTTTGAGTCGCCTGTAATGCAATTGCTCGAATTCGAGCAACAGGTACACTAGTCTATATATTAATTTGAAACTGTTTTTTCTTTGTGACAGCTAATTTGAGAGAACGGCTGGGCGTAGAAACTCGGTAGAGGTGTCTAAAGAAAGGTCTTGGTCTGTAGATGAGCCATCAAAAGAGAAACGTGGTAAATTCCCTTGGGGCTCTGCCCTAGTGGCCTTTAAATTCCCATCCCATGTTATTCTTAGGGGGAAAACGGGGTTTTGTCACAGCTAATTTGAGAGAACGGCTGGGTGTAGAAACTTGGTAGGGGTGTCTAAAGAAAGGTATTGGTCTGTAGGTGAGCCCTCAAAAGAGAAACGAGGTAAATTTCCTTGGGGCTCTGCCCCAGAGGCCTTTAAAGTCCACTCAGCAGTTTTGTTTACATTACGACCATATGGATAATTTTCCCACTACTTTTAATGAACCAGCTGTTAATATTAAAATTGTATTCACAGGTCTACTGAAACCAGCGAGCACATAATAATAATAATACTGAAACTGTCAAAATTAAATGTTTACACATTATTATTTATGATTTTAAATTGATTTTCCACTGCATGGCAAGTTTTTTTTATAGTTTCAACCAAATGAGAATTCAAGAAAGAAAACCAGAAATTCATTTATTGGTATAAAAGTTCTCGATAATCGGGTTGAAGTCATAGATGAGGAGAATGAGAGCTGTGTTGAAGTTTTGGAATAGACTGACTACGGAGTATGTTTCATCTATGGTTTTGGTGAAGTGGGTAATATAATGTCAATTCAGGTATTTAAAAAAAAGTGTGAACAGTGTTTTTACTTTGCTGTACACATGCAGCTAGGTCGAACAACGCATCTAAACCTCACTATATACAAAACATTCGGAAACACAACAGTGCCATCATATCTCATCGCATTTGCATAATTTGTTACCAAGGCTGGACTAAGTTATGGATTTGGTTCCACAAATGTTCAAAAATTGTCGTCAAATTTCCTACAATTATGGTTCATTCCATCCACGAAATACATGCACAGCTTTATGTGATCGATATGGCCATTGCAAAACTACCCCATATGTTAATCAATTAGCAAGTAAGTACAGGAATGCCAAAAACAGTGAACAGGTGTGTGGTGGAACGATGGAAGTAAACGTTAGATCTGTGTATGCTACAGGATGATTAAATACATAAGTCGATGTGGCAAGAGAAAGAATTAAAATTGCTTGGATAGAAGTAAGAATGTTACTGCTTTCTGGAGAATCAGATATATTTATCAAATAGAAAAAAAAAAAGATTTAATATGCCTCCCCACTGATAAAATTCTGTATTTTTATGACCAAAGATGGTGATTCACTTATACAATCCAAATACGATCTGAATGATTTTCCCAAAGCTGATAGAGCCAGTTATTTTAGTAATATTGACTCTTTCCATCAGATGAGATACAAATAAAATGAACTCCTTTCCCCATATAGTGAAAGAAGCTTAAACATGAACTAAAGTCATGAACAAGAAACAATTGTAAGACTCCTGAAAAGCCTTTTGGGAAACCTAAAGCCGTTGAAAAGACAGAAAATATTGAATTCAACAAACAAGTTTTTTAATGTACACTATTGTCTTACTCATAATTATGTTTTCCTCCCTAAGATTTTAATAACTTCACTCTATCCATCGCAGTTAGCTGAATTTACGTAAAACCTCAAGAGTAACCGTCGATTTCGACGGGATTCACCTAGTCATAGTTTTATTGTGAACATGTCTCAATGAAAATAATAACTTAAGAAATTTGTTGTCTGTGAGTTTTATATGCTGATGTGTTCTGGATAAAACAAGTCCATTTTGAAAATTTCAAAGCTAGTCTGCTCCCTACTTTTCTGTTAAGAAAGCTGAGTTTTTTTTGCAGCAGAGCGAGAGCGCAATCTTCAATGAAGACCACAGTCAGCTGTGCTAGGTTTAGAACAGAGGCAAAATCTAATCTTTCAAGTTTTTAGGAGTAGGCTTAAATGACTACCTAATGAGTCTCTGGCTTACACGATGGGTCTTTAGCGAATTGTGAGTATGATTTAGGACTAGTTTATGTTACATTGTTTAAATCTGCTAATAGTTATAATGTTGTGTTATTTAAAATGTTAAATATGTTTAACTAATTTTGTTGGGCTATTTGTTGTTTTTGTTTTTTATTGACTGCAGGATTGTGAGCGCAGTACCAACGAATCCAAGATTTGTTCAGAGGCATCTTACATAATATTAGGCTACTATTTCATATTCAGATTCATTAAGAATTTTTAATCATGTGTACAAATATCCTAAGTAAAAATGTAGGCCTACAAATCAAATGTGAATACTTTCATACACATTTTGATACTAGTAGGTCTAACTTTTCAAATTGCAATTGTGCAAGACCAAGTGGTGTGATAAGGCTACAAAGAAACCCAAAATTACTCTGCTCCTCCCTTCCAGTGAAAAGCTGCTATTTATTCTGTGGGTTCTCTACTTTTGTCAGATTTTTTTGGTATCTTATAGTTACTTTACATGACAAATAAATAAATCCTTAAATTCCCACAGCTCTTTGAAATTAAATGAAATATGTGTTTTCTTGTAGTATGAATATTATATTATAGTAACACTTTGGCTATTCACCTGTTCTTTGTTGAGTTTTTTGAAGATTTTTAAAGTAGTCAGCTGGGATTTTGGTATGTAAACTTGTATAATTATGCTACCGATATTTACGATTTCAAATTCATATTATCATTGCATTTAAACTCATACTCTATTACGTTTTATATCTATTGAGTAATTTTTATGTGAATGTAATCAATATACCTTCAGTACCCACACATCAGTCAATATAGTCAATTTATTGTTGTTGTTTGAAATTATTATTTATTTGTATACCTTTTGTTATTTTGTCAGTTTTTGTTTTGTTTGGCTAGGTTTGGCATTGTTACTGTTGTTTGTTATTAGATCATTATATATTGTTCATTTTATTCCTAATATTAAGCACAAAAATTGTTATTATCAATTTAAGTCATCCTGAGTTTATTGTTTTGTTTTGTATGCTGTAAAATGGAGATGTCCGTTGAAATAAATAAATAAATAAATACTTAAATTATTAACGAGTCTGTAGTATTTTACAAATACTGAGATTTATTTATTGAAGTTATATTGAAAGTTATATCTCTTATTGAAAGTTATATCATTCTAACGATATTTTACATTTGATCAACATGTCAGTTTGGTTTGTTGTGACATGGCATAAAAAGGGATTTTTTCGCTGCGTGGGACATGATGGTCCGTTGTGTTGGTAGCACTGGCTGTATCCGCCTCCTCAGTCGCAATCGCACAGTCGCTCACACCGCGCGAGTGGGGTAGCATTGTTGTCAGTGTACTGTTGTGCGAAGTGTTGTGTTAGCGCGGCGTGCCCTGTCCAGTACATGGGCAGCAAAACTACGCAGCCCGCTGGTCCCAAGATTAAGAAAGAGACTTCTGATGAAGAAATTAAGGTAATTTTGTTTTTATTGTCCTAAGAAAATTATAATTTAAGGTTGTTATCAGAAAAGTAAACCCCGCCTTATTCATATTTACCTATGTCACAGTTTCACTTGTTTAATGTTGTACTAAAACAATAATTTTAGTTTATAAATATTCAGACAATCTTTTTATTTTAAATTTTTTTAGATATCAGAATATTTTCCTCAAATAATGTAATATTTTTTCACTTTTGAGAAATTGATTGTGTTCTTGACAGTAATCAGTAATTAGCAAGTATTAAGTTATACCTCTAGACCTTTTTAAAGAGCTTAAAAAAAAACAAATAATTTAGTATATCAAAGTGTTTTTGTACGGTTATTGGTAACGGAGAAAATTCAAAAAATTGTAAATTTAAAATTTCCATGTTAGGTATTCTTGTGGAGAATATTGTAAACTGTTGTATTTTGCTTGTTTGTGGATATATTTTGATCAAACTTGGCAAATTTATTAATTTTATACTAAGCTATTGATATTTTACTTAAATACACACTTTATTAGTTTCCTTGTAGCAGCAAACCTAGGTAGCCTACTCGTTAAACCTAATGTTATTTAAATAAATTTAATTGAAAATCAATTCAGACAAATGGAAATTCGCTTAGTCGGCAGGTTTGCTGCGGCGGGGGTATTTTTTTTTCATTAGGTGTATAAAAATATTAGTGATTAGCTTTTTGGCTTTTTGCTTCGAGCAAGTAGGCTATGGTGTCATTTTTAAAATCGTCAGTCTGGTTCCGTTGCACAGCTTGGGTGGATTTAAGATTCGCATTAGTATTGTTGGAGTTCCCCCTTTTAAAGACAGTACAGGTTAATGACCAAGTGGGAGGCATTCGAATACCTGAGATTAGCACGATTATTATTCACTTAATAATTTATGTTAGATTGTAGTTCCAAGAGTCTGACGTTGGATCCCTTAAGACCTTCTGGGGCGAAGCCCTTTTGACGGATCTGCACCAATTTTCACACAAACCATCCTTGAATAATGCTTAATAATGCCTGAAGGTTTCATTACAATCCGTCGAGCGGTTTCAGAATTACATAGGGTACATACATACATACATACATACTTCCTCTTTTTTAGATGTAAGACTAGGATTATAAGATAGCAACCTGGGTAGCTTATAAGCGGCTTGCGCTGATAGTATGATGTGACACAGTGATACATTGTTGATTGTTGGTATTAGACCGACCTACCTGGCCTTTAAACGTCTTATCATTGTGCCCCTGCAGTCACCACTGTATTACCCATGAGACACTTAACAACAAAATGACTACTAAGACAGAATCAAATACTTATTTAATCTAAGGCTATGCAATTTTTACGAAACCTATTTAAATGCGACTTCTCATGCTCCTCGTAGCTCATCTAAGTACTAATTGGTCCTTATTACATAAATAGGGCTATGTGCGAGCATTTATTTTAAATTGCTTTTATGCACCTTTTACTAAGACATCGGTGGATGAAATTGCATACATTTGAGTTTGGCTTGATCAACGGTAGATCTAGTTTGATGGATCGTCAGTTTATCACTAGAGTTACGTGACCGTAGTCCAAGGACTAAAAACTTTTCAGGGGTGGTTACTTGGGCGGTTAACTTGCACGCCCCAATCCCAGCTACAGATATTGCAAAACTTACTCTACAAGAGAACATTCACATTTTCCACCCTCCAAGGAACAGGACGAACTGTCGGGTCGCCGGAAGACTGCCCCCTGGACAACTAACCTCCCCCCCAGAGCAGGTTACTACGTCATGTTGACGTCAGAGGGGACAGTTTTCCAGTCACGGACAATCAAGTTTCGTTGTCAAACTGTTCTAAACTAACCTAATTTAACCAACCAAACTTGCTGTAACATTTCAAAATTCTGTACGATATTCCCCACATGCCTTTTTTGTTGTTATCAACGGAATTACACGATTTAAAATTACAATTACAGAGCATCACATTTTGCTAGGGGGTAGTATTCCAGTTGCGGGCACGGCTCCCATATTGGTTAGTTGGCAGATTTCGTGACGTCACGTTTCACCTGGGGGTGGTTTTCCGGAGGGGTAGTATTCCGCATCCCCGAACTGTCCCAGTAAGCTCACCACCCACTGAACCGTTACCAACATGTCTCACCAAACTTCCTCACTTTAAGTTTACTGTACTTCCAATTCTTTTAACAATAATTCAGTTCCAAAGACAAAATTGGGAATTTACTTTAACAATCCCATCCCAGCTCAGACTATTGCAAAACGTCCAACTCCTTCACTTAAATGTTGTTTTTCTATTTATTTTTAAACTATCTCAGTTTCAAAAGCAAAACGCCGCACTATAAACGTCAGAAGGGTTTGCTCAAGTACTCAGTGTTTCTTTCATGGGTACCCAAGGGGATTTAATTTTACTGTTCCATACCAGCTCAAACTATCGTCACAACATTCATCGCACAAGAAACATCCAAGACCCAACTCCCTCACTTGAGTTGACAGTCCATTTATTTTCACGCTATGACTCCAGTTCCAATGTCAAGAGTACCCTATCCACTTGCGCTTCAGAGTCTGGTAATCAATTACAGAAACTCAGAGCTTTGTTAGTTCCTGACTTTTGCCCAGGTTGCGCCGCAGATGCAGGTGTCATGTTTCTTCTGACATCCGACACCGCTATACCCCCCCCCCCCTCTAGATTGATGGCGTCCCCTTACACACGTATCGAGTTGCCGGTACACTAGTACACTATGTTGAATGTGAGAGGCTTTGAAATGAAACCAGCAATAGGTTTGATTGTTTAGGTGTTGTAGACAGTATGGTGATTAGTGGATCAAGGATACGGAATATTGTATTACAGTACCGTATTGTATACCAGCTATATTAGAACCATTGTACGTTGATATTCTTAAGTGTGAGAAAAGGTTAGTTCGGATGGAAAAGTTTAAGTTGAAATGCAAGAATGATTAATCTGAATATTAATCATTCGGTTGTGTCACAGTTCTGGGTTGTCCATGAACAAGTAACTTTCGAAATTTCAATAATTCGGGTAGCTATCAGAATTAAAAAACGACCGTCAATTCATCAATCTCGGGCGAGCTTATTAAAAGTAATATTTTTAAATTGTCAGAGATGAATAAATTTTCAATCACTACTCCATTGGTTTATACGTGTTGATGGGTAACATGTACGCCAGTGGTGTACTCGAGCGTTCATTTCGTCCTAGAAAATAAACACTGAACAAGAGGAATGAACTCTTTAAAAGGGTTGCATTAACATTTAAAAGCAGCGGGCATCGAGGGTTTCGCGCCAAATGTTTTGCAACCTGATCCGGACAGCTGATGAGAGGCGAAACTTTACCCTCGCAAACATTGAAACGTTCTCCCCAGTCTGGCCCCACCCTTGACTTGAGATATCGCGTGTTGTTTAAGTGCCAATGTTAAAATCACTTATCGGACATTGGTCATATTACAGACAAGGTAAATGGTTAACTTAAAACTTAAAACACTGTCTGAATCTCAACCTCGGTCTGCTAGATTCGTCAAATGTTTCGTCTTGGTTCGACGGTGGAGGAAGATTGGACTGTTGATGTACGAGTCTCTACTACCGAGTTGGTCTTCCAGCTACCCTGCAGACGTGCGTTATGTCCAGTTAACTTGCAGCATAATCACTTAGTTGGTAGACACACTTCATGTTAGTGCAACAAAAATGCATCCTCAAAATTCTCAAAATTAAAATTCGTTCAATAAATTTGCAAATTTGCAAATTCCTTGACTAGGTTCTAAGTATGTAGTTTTACATAATAAAGTAGCAGTTTGTCGTCGCAAGTCATACAATTTGTCATAGAAAATAAACTTAACAAACTTTAACTTTCTAGTGTTTCAGCTTGTGTTCATCTTAAGTTTTTGTTTGTATCCTACATGGAAAAATCTTCTTTACATTTTACACGGTCAAACACTAAGCAAATATGTTTCGCTCAGATTTCAGGAAACAAAGGGTTTTTTGGGACTATAAGAGTTAATTTAGTTTTATTAGTTGAATTGAACAACATTGTCAATAATACTGTTTGGTTACTATTAAGTTTACTATTTGGTTATGCCTTATTTCTTATAGATTATTCTGGAAGTCATAATTTACTCTTGTAATTGACAGTTAGTTATGATTGTAGATTGTTGTGTGTAAGTGAGAGTAGCTTACATATTAAATTAGGGAGTGTGTTTTATCTAAGGTACAGCCTCTGCCAACTCATGACTGCAATAATTAGACGCAACATGCTGAGCACTTTATTTCACTTTGACATTTCCACGACCACAATATCGATTCCTCAAACTGGCATTTCATCTGTTCTCATAATTAACTACTTGAGCAATTCGCCAGTTCTGCCAAATCCAACTCGATTAGATTCCCGTTGATCGCGAGCGCCAGTATTAACGTTGCACGCTGATCTGTGCTCAAATGTTCAAAGCCAGAGGCAAGCTTCCAAACGAGGCCGCCTGGCGTCAAAACACCGCTCGAATTTGAATTATAACGTCACAGCCAAATTTAGAGCTCACCCTAGCCTGCCCTACCTTCCCGTTGAGGTTCAAAGTTGTTGTGTCAAAAACATCGTTTACTAAGAATTTTTGAATTTTCATGCTAAAAATTAACAGATAAAACGTCAGTTTTTTTAATGCTTAGTTTCTGTGATTGATTTGAACAATTTTCATATCGAAGGAACGAAATTTAATTTTTTAGTGTAGCCTACAAATCTAAATTTGTAATTATTTTCTAAGGAAATATTTTCATGCATGAATTATGGTGGCCATTTTGTATTGTTTGTTCAAATGTACACAATCGTGTTTTAAAAGCGAGGCGCGGCCAAGTGATGATAACCACTATTTTGTATTCACAACGATGCGACGAGTATTTTTCTCCCATTCAATCGTGAAACTAAAAATCCTACTCACAGAGCAATGTACCTCACTGAACCCTTTTCTACATCTTACAAAATGTGTCTCATTGACTCTATTGCACTA